TTAGAAGTGGGCAGGCATTTGGACAAGACCATTCATTTGACACTATTTAGTGATTAAGGAAGTGGGCCTTGATTGATTGTTTTGGAGTGGCAAATATCTGATATTTATTTTAGTGCTGTAAACGGCTGGATCGTCGTTAGACTGTGGCCTTCTGTTTCGCTTTTAATTTAACCTCTCCTGTTACTTGAGTTGAGAGGTGGTTGGTTGATCATTCACTTGTGAAACGGGGAGATATTTAGAGAGGGAAAATAAATTATAGATAGGTCAGAGCGCAGAGATAGTGGTGGGTAGTGTCGCTAATGAGCTGAGTTGTTTTGATTCGATAAAATTTGTTCAATTGAGTAAAAATTCAATTTTTTTATTAACAAGTTGAATTTGAGCTAAGTTTACTCAGTTTGTAAGGCTTGTGAGCTAGCTTGGCAAGGTGGCTTGTTGAGGTCGACTAGTGAATTCTCTTGTTTAAGCTCATGAGATGTCTCAACATTATGATTAGTGAGCCAACTCGACTACTCACTTATGGGAAAATCAATTTATACCTTATGAGTTGGTTTGTTGATAATACATAAATTTTATTAAACTATATATCTTGCATGTTTAAGATTTTGAGTATGTGAGCAACTATATATGATATGAGATCATAGGCGGAGCTAGGCCATTTTGGCCTTGTCCCGGGACAGGGGTAATTTTTGGGAGAGGAAAAAAAATATCACACCTACAAGTAACATAAGGATGTTTTGTTACTATATCACAACTCATTACTTGTTCATTAATTGCCTAAAAATTAGTTAATTGATTCCATTCATGACACTATTATTCGACAACAGCTTGTACATGATGAATTATCTCGAGCAATGCTGGAGATGAAAGTTTATAAGTCATATATCCGTAAGTTTATTTGCTTATGAAACTAGAAAGAGCATTTTTAGCTTCAGTTTTATTAAGAACAACTTCAAAGTTGGATTGGCGATCAGTTTGCTAATGATTTTTTAATGGGATACACTGAAAGAGACTTGCTTTAAAGTGTATACAACAAATGTATTTTGCATTTGTTTCGGAATACGAAAACTCGTCGTGGTTGTTTATGCAAAATATAATTGTATTAGTTGATTGTTTCTTTATCTATGAATGAATTATTTGAATACTATTACTTTTAATTATATTTATTAAATTTTTATTAATTATATATTTATATTTTGAAAAGAGGATAGGGGTAGTTTCTAATCCTGCCTCCGCCACTATATGAGATCAGTTAATCACATATATCATTTATGACATATAAATATTACATGTCGTTTGGATGAGTTGTTGTGTAACGAGTTAATATAAAAGAGAAATTCCTCACAAAGTGAGAATGTGGTATTTGTGAGTAATTTCACTATATCTACCCCTATGAGGCATTGACAATAACTCATTAATGAGTTATTTCAAATTAACTCAAGTACAAATAACTCACCTCCAACTTTTGTAGACAAACGAGTTATTTGTGTGCAAATAACTCATCCGAATAACACATCCAAACGACTCCTTAGGGTGTAATTTTTAAATTATCAAGAGTTGAGTTAGAGCCAAACTCCTGATGTTAATGATGAGTTAAATAGGTTTTAATAAATGTGTCTGCTCGAAGTCGACTCAACTAAACTCAATTTGTTTATAAATAAGTTAAACTCAAATCCAGTCGCAAATAACTCATCCGAATAACACATCCAAACGACTCCTTAGGGTGTAATTTTTAAATTATCAAGAGTTGAGTTAGAGCCAAACTCCTGATGTTAATGATGAGTTAAATAGGTTTTAATAAATGTGTCTGCTCGAAGTCGACTCAACTAAACTCAATTTGTTTATAAATAAGTTAAACTCAAATTCGACTGGATATTAACAAGCCAAATTTAAACTAGACAAAACTCCACTAATTTCATTAGCCACGGTAATGGTGGGTGAATAATTGATGACCCATGCATATGTCCAAAAGGCACTTTCGAGTTTCGATTGACTAGAAAATAAAAGATATGCCAACAAGGAGGAAGCCCGTTTCAAGATTCAGATGGCCCATTCAAAATGCTCTCTTGGGTAGCCCAAGATGCATTCAGAAAACTTAGATGGATGTACCAGCAATTGTATTTTCTGGGGCGGTCCAACCAAGATGCCATCTCGAAGGCTGGCCGAAATGAATGACGTGACTTATGGGCTATAGGAAGCCGCATTCGCCTTGATAAGCAAACAGTTCTAGATAGGGTAGAGATCGGTACGGTATCGGTATGGGTATCCCAGTATTAAATACTAAAATCTCGAATACCGAATTACACCCTAAAATTAATCACAATCCCTAAATAATTTCGGTATCCCAATCCCTCTCCCTAAATATTTCGGTATTCCAATCGGTACCTCGGTATCCCAATCGGTATTATCAAATACAAAATTAATTACCTTTGTAATTAATAATTAAATATATAAATTAGATTTTATTGTTTAATTTAGGGCAAAGAGATTTAGCAAAGAGTCTTGAGTTGCCTAGAGCTAATATCTCAAGTTCTTGTAATTGGTAATCTTTAATTTGACGAATTTGAGGTTGAGAGACGACTAATACTACTATGTAATAGCGATGGAATGTTCTATGTATATGATGGACCCGATATTCACCTGCTTTAACCTACCTATTTTTACCCCGATTGTGATTAAAAGGTTATTAAATAATTAAATTTATTATATCCTATTATTATTACTCTTAGTTTATTATTATTTTCTTAAACCTTACCCAACTTTCCTTCCCTTTCTCCCACAAGTGGCAGACGCCACCTCATCTCCCTCCCTTACTATTTCTTTCCACACTCCCTCTTACGTAAACTTTCTTCTTCTCCCTACCATTTCCTACACTTTCATTTGTCTTCATTTACATGCATGTTCATGCATACACATACATACAATTCTCATCCCTACTCTTTCTTTAAATTTCCACTACATATCTATACTTTTCTTACTTTCTCATACATACTTGAACTTTCTCATATACCATAATTGGTGAGGAATATTGGTGTATGATAGAGAATATTAAAGTATAGCAGAGAATGCTGGTGAATGTTAACGTAAGTTGAAGAATTCAACTATGATTTTTTCCTATAAATAGGCAACACCCCTCCCCCTTTCAAAAAGACAAGTAACAACAACAAGTCACACACACACCACCACATAAGTCGCTTACGACTACTTCACACAACACAATTCACACATACACTCTCTCTACTTTCTCTCTCTAAAAACGTATTCTCTCTCCTCCCGATCTCCAAAAAACGTGTTAACTCTCTAAACACTAAACACACTCTCAATTTGGCGGGCTAAGCCATGGAATCGTGGATAGTCTCCACCGGGCGGCATTAAATAGCCGACGACGCTCAATTACGACCGTGGGACCGAACCAGGTCTAACGTCATCGTATTTATTTTGTTCCATTCAGGTTACTAATTTGAGCGTCGGAGGAGGTTCCAACCAGGACCCCCCCCCCCCCCCGGTGGGACTTTTTTTTCCAGGTATTCGCACGGAGCTGGAGGTGGTTAAAGGCTTTGGGAAATCAGCGCTCTCCGGACCTTAAACATATTGAAGCAGGCTGCTCTAAGCTTGGCATCAACAGTATAATTAAATGACACTCTTGGTAGTTGATGGTCGCCTAGTAGTGAATGAGAGAGTCTAGTTCAAATGATAAATTACGCACCAGCTTATATTTCGGTATATCCCGATCTCAATCCCGTAATCCCTATTACAGAATAACAATTGAAATTCAATCCCAATCCCACAAAATAATACGTGTATTCGATAATACCAAATACAGACAAATTCGATACAGTATTGGGTAATATCCCAAATACCGATACCAAACTTCCGGCTCTAGTAGTTGTAGAGTGTGATGAAGTTGCAGTAAGAATCAGTTCAGTTAATTATGATTAAGTCAGGAGCTTCAGTTCTTGATTCCGCACAACATATTCTTTAGCTAGATCAGTTATATGACGAGGTTGACAGACTCTTGTACACGAAAGGAGAAGATCTGATCATTGGCCACTTTCCTCTCTTTTATTAATGTTTCTGCAAGTTCCAATCTAACAGCTCAAGCTCTCTCTCTCTCTCTCAATCCTGTTTTCCAACATCACGTCACAATTCTACTCCATGCACAATTAATTCCAGCTCTTGTCATATGCACAATTAATTCCAAGAGTGGAAAATGAAGTCTCAAGGCACTATCTACGTCAGTGAAGCAATTAAAGAGAGTAACGGTCACTCCAAATAAAAAGAATGGTTTTTAAAGGCAGTTATTTTTGTGGGTTGTGGCTATAAATATGAGGAGAAGATAACAAAAAGAGGGTTCGCCAAAACCACACTAAATAACACAATGTCAACTTTTATTTCTTTATTTTTTCCTCTACAAATTTAGCCATAGACCATAGTAGTAGATCTGGAACTCTCGCTGGACCTCCATAGGAGTAGAGTTAATATAATTTAGTTTTGTCTCGTAGTTCATCGTAAACATCGAACACCCTTAGTTGAGATTTGTTCAAAGAGACATAAATTGTATTTGTTTAATCGTTTGTTTAGAAGTCAAGGTGCAAATCGATTCCGTTCCACCCTAGTTTTCTCGCCAGAAAACAATAATTGTGCCTGTATGCAATAAAATAACTGGAACCGTCATCGTATCAACGTTGGTGTCGATGAGGATCCATCTTCCATGCATTAGATTTAGCCCCGTCGACCGTTTCCTATGTATGGAATTTAAGTACAAGGAAGAGTAGGTACATATATCCACGAATAGTAATGAACAAATACAGCACAGCACAGCACAGCACAGCACAGCACAGCACAGAGCACACCCACCATTGTACTTTGCATTGGTATACTCTGCTTTCATCCTTTTTATACCAAAAGAAGAAGAAAAAAAGAATTGCACATATGGCGGTTGCTTGCCGCCCCACCTCCAGTATTTATAATTTAATCGCTCTTTTCCTCCTTCCACAACAGAACCAGTATAGTAGCTAGCAGCAACAACGTAAATCTCTAAGCTAATAATGGCTTCTTCTTCTTCTTCTTCTTCTTGGGTGTCGGCAACTTTTCCAGTTCCCGTGAAACATCGTAATCAGAGGTCAGGTAGGATTAACAGTCAAGGTTGGGTCAGGGCTAGGGATGGCAATTTCGACCTGACCTGATTTACCCGACCTGTTTGACCTGTTTTGGGGCGGGTCAAACCCGCCCCGTAGGCGGGGCGGGGCGGGCATGGGTACCTCCCATCGACCCGACCTGCCCTGACCCGCCCCATTCTGGACCCGTTCTTGCCTAAATTACATATAATCTTAGTCAAATTACTTAAGATTTTCCTCTGATTACATTATATTTTAGTTATAATAAAGTTGTAAATAAGTGAAAACCTCAATTTCTTTAGTAATTTAACTACATTTTATCATATTATGGTTTCTTTCTTGGTCTTTCAATGAAAAGAATGAATATTTCTAATGTTTTTCACATAAATTACATACCCAATGGGTCGACCTGCCCCGACCCGCGCCCCGTCATAAATTACCCGACCTGGACCCGACCTGCCATGGGGCGGGTATGGGTATCGAGATACCCGCCCCGGACCTGCCCCATTGCCATTCCTAGTCAGGGCGCCGATCAACCGGTGCAGCTGGAACAGGGGAAAACAGAGCAACAGCAGCAGCAGGTTGCGTGATTTGTCGGCGGCAATTAACGATACTAGTTCGAATATTACTAGTAAAAGATCATCATCATCATCTTCTTCTTCTTCCAAGGAAGGCAGATTAGCGAGGAAGGAAACAGAGAGGTTGGCTTACCTGGTGGCTGCCATGTTGTCCAGCGTTGGCATCACTTCGATGGCCGCCGTAGCTGTCTTCTCCAGATTCTCTTGGCAATTGGAGGTTAATTTACTTACTTAATTAATCGCAATGCTAGTTACTTGAAAAAAAAAATTAAGTCGATTGATTAATTAGTGTTTGACAAGGTAAAAATCTGTTGGGTAATGAATGGATGGATGCAGGGTGGGGAGTTTCCAGTGGTGGAAATGTTTGGGACCTTCGCCTTGTCCGTCGGAGCCGCTGTAAGCGAACCATAATTAAAAAAAAAATACCCACACTTGATTAGAAACTAATTATGATCGTCTCGTTGTTGGATTAATCGAAGTATTGAACAGGTGGGGATGGAGTTTTGGGCTCGGTGGGCACACAGAGCATTGTGGCACGATTCTTGGTGGGACATCCACGAGGTTATTTTTAGTTACCTTCGTGTTTCTTTGGTTTCCATGTCAGTTCTACTAAAAAGTATAGATGACAGAGAAGCGGTGTCGTTTCAGTCGCATCACAGGGCCAGAAGAGAAGGAGCATTCGAGGCGAATGATGTGTTTGCAATAACGAATGCGGTGCCTGCCATTGCCTTGCTCTCCTATGGTTTCTTCAACAAAGGCATTTTCCCTGGTCTCTGCTTCGGCGCCGTAAGTGTAAACTAAATCGCGTTCCTTTTTATAAAAAAAAAAATTTTTAAAGACGCACGGTGGAGGAACAAAAAGGCGAAATTTGAGTTGAACACTCCGTTGTGGCTGCCACGTGTGTCGGTGGATGTGGTATCCACTGGGCCCGACTGACGTGGCCTCACGATAGCAACTAGAATCTTTTATCTTGTTTTCTGGAATAATAATAATAAAAAGAATCTTTGGCCTGGGCCGTGATCTTTGTTGGGTTTGGCGGGATGCAGGGATTGGGGATAACGGTGTTTGGGATGGCGTACATGTTTGTGCACGATGGGCTGGTCCATCGGCGCTTCCCCGTTGGGCCCATTGCCAACGTCCATTACCTCCAAACAGTTGCAGCAGCTCACCAGGTAAGTAAGAAAAAAAAATTCCCACCAATAAACAAAAAATCTTTGCCATATGCTTATGCTCTTGTTGTTTTAGTTTTTACCATGGTCCATGAAATCATACCGGAGGTCGTATCGAAAAATTCAGTGGTAGAGTATTTTATGTCAAAATCATGGTTTAACCGTAGTTCAACCGTTAATACAGTTAAATATCACATATTAGTTTAGCTTCCAATACTGATATTTTGTGGTTGAACCATCGACACGGTACGGTTTCATAGACCATAATTTTTACCTGCCTAGTGCGTCTGCTAAACTTACTCACTCTAATTTTGGCCCATTAATTATTTTTCCGAACAGCTTCACCATGCGGACAAATTCGATGGCGTTCCTTATGGGTTGTTCTTAGGGCCTCAGGTGGTCAGCCCAACACCCTTCGCTCTACCTGAATTACTCCTTTCCTTGCTTTTAAGTTTTAACCCACAGAGTGGCTAGGCTACAGCCTACAGCTTTCTTGGTTTTAGGTCTAACCTGATCTGGTTATACGCAGGAAGTAGCTGAGGTTGGAGGCACGGATGAGTTGGAGAAGGAAGTCCAAAGAAGAATTAACCGCTCCATTTGATTCATTTCTTCTCCACTGAAATATATACTTTCTACCTCCCTTTCTCGGGGTTTCCTTCCATTCATTCTTTCGTTTACTTTTGAGTTAAATTCTACTAAATTTTTACTTTTTTAGGCTTGGTGATTCGTTCAATCTCAATATAAAGCTAGACAGAGAAGAAAATTGTAAATAGAAGTGTGTTCTTCCTCGCATCTGGAAGTATATGGGGATTATAAAAGGGCATATGCAGTGGGTAGCTAGGATTCTAGTTTAGTGAGATCTTATTTACGAAAAATCTTATAACATTGTATTCAATTGTCAAGTAAATTTTCTTAAAAATATTTAATCAATTAGTCATTCATCAAACCATTAATTATCAGATTTGTACCTTACATTTTATGTAACTCATAATTGAAAAGTGACATTTCAATAACTAGCTAATAAATAGTTTCCAAGCAAAATCTAATACACACAAATATTTATAAAACACATTTGACGACAAAGAAATTATATATTGATAAGAAAAAATTGTTGAACTAATATCTTTTTAGATATAGCTGGAGGTTTTTGTACACATATTTAGTAGAATTAAAAAAAATTAAAATTAAAGACTATAAAATTGTGGATTTTTAATTATATATGACCAATATAGTTTAATTTATTTGTGTGCTTCATAATACTAGGACAATAAAATCCCATATGAAAGGAGTCATGAATTCTAAATTTAAATCTACCCAAATTAAATAAATATGTACATGCATATAACCATTTTAATTTATCAAGTGGGGTCGTACTTTCACCTCCCTCCGTCATTGGGCACATGGGGAAGGAGACGAGGAATCCAATTTGAATGCAATAGAGGTGCGGACCGACCATTCTCAATTTGTCAATGAAATTCTTTGACAAATAACTGGCGTACATATAGGATGCTCTGCCAATCCCAAGAGGGTCGAGAGAGAACCGATGTTGTAAGGGACGACCCATTTAGAGAATATTTGCAATTATAAACATGAGCGAGAAGGGAATATTGCTATCAGCTATCGGGAGCGGGACATCTCTATTTTTTTTTATAGTTTTTAAACTTTTTATAAGAACTGTCGTGATCATGAATAAGATCCAATTAAGAACTAAGAAGTGGACTAAAAATTAAGACTTACTTGTTTTGTTGATGACCAATACAAATATATACTTCAAAATTTTCTCTTTTTCATATTAGCACATAAAAAAAATCTGGAATTGGAACGTCAACGGTGTGTGAGTGGAGAAATTTTTGCAGGTGGATACAACTGTGAATGTGGGTATATGAGCTGGGTTCATGATTAATGACATGCAACTGTCGAATGATTATCAAAGCATTACCCATTTATATCACATGGCCCCTTTCGTTACAGCAGATTGATTTTGCTATAAAACAAACACATACACATGCAAGACACGGGACTGGTCTTTATTTGGGAGTGCGGATCTGGTGACTAGGGGGTGCTTAGTCACTTGACTAAGCCCCTCCTAGCCCTTAGATCTGGACACTTCAATCCAATGGTTAAAAAGTGGGAATGACTATTTAATTAATGACAGGGGTAGTTTGGGTATTATGGAAAATTACGAAGTATACAAACCGGATTTACAATCAGTACAAACCATACAAAACATACAAACAGATTTACAAACATTACAAACGTATGAACTGTACAAACAATACAAACTAGACCGACAAACAATACAAACCATACAAAAAGAAAAAACAACCGGGTTGACTTTTGAGGCTCCATCCCTATATAGAGAGGCTCCTTCCCAAAGTCAACCCGGGTGTTTTTTAGACATACAAACAGTACGAACATGGTGGACAAAAATGACAAACTAGACCGACAATTCATACGAACGGGAAAAAAACACCCGGGTTGACTTTGGAGGCTCCATCCCTATATAGAGGGGCTCCTTCCCAAAGTCAACCCGGGTGTTTTTTAGACATAAAAAACATTACGAACATGGTGCACAAAAATGACAAAGTTTACAAACATGGTGCACAAAAATAACAAAGTTTACAAACATTACAAAAAAAAAACGACAAACATTACAAAATAACAAAGCATACAAACATTACAAAATATGGCAACAAACATCACAAAATTAGCACTGTCACCGGGAAATTTTTCTCCGGCGACGATGTTCGTCGAAAAATTTTCCGACCAGAAAAACTCTCTCTCTCTCTCTCTCTCTCTCTCTCTCTCTCTCTCTCTCTCTCTCTCTCTCTCTCTCTCTCTCTCTCTCTCTCTCTCTCTCTCTCTCTCTCGTTGCACCTGGTGGAAAGAAGAATTCCCAGAACTCTCAACTTGGGGAATAAATTCCCACGCACTAGAATTCCCTGGTCGGATCCCGGCGGAAAAAAAACGAGGCGGCCGGCCGGCTTAAAAAACGAGGCGGCCGGCCGGGAAAAAAAACGAGGCGGACGGCAGGTAGAGTGAGCCGGAAAAAAATTATTTAATAATTAAAAATAAAAATAATCATGAACTTACAATTTTTCCCTTCATTAAAGTAGATTAATTGTAGCCATTAGATTTTAATGAGATGGAAGGGCTGAGATTTACTTAGTCATGTGACTAAGGGACCCCCCCTTAGTCACCTAATCTTAGCCCTTTAGACCATCCACAATGTGGGAGGGTGGGAAAGGTGGGAAAATAGGGAAAAGGGGGAAAATGAGAGGGTTTGGTCACAATGTTGGTGTGGGAAAAAGGGGTAATTGGTTGAACACTTTTTTTCGTAAAATCAATTTATAGTTGATTTCAACACTTTATTTTTATATAATGATCATTATTTTTACATAGTTAGTGATAATTAATGAATACGAACATTTTGATATAATTTTTTATCTAATTTGGACATAATTTTTTTCATCACTAATTAACGTCATTAATGACGAAATCGCAATAATTTATACAAGAAAGTTGTTACATTGATAGTTGAACATAAACATAATTAAGAAGAAATAAAAGCAAACAAATAAACACTAAACCCTAAAAACAAACACTAAACCATTAAAATAATAACAAAAAAATAAAATAAAAACAAACTGAAGTGGGCCCCCACCCCTTCCCCTTTCCCCCCACCATTTGTCTCATCTGGTGGGTTTTCCCACCCACTAAACCCACAAAACCCATTTAATCCCCTATTCCCCCCCACATTGTGGTCACATTTCCCCTTTTTCCCACAAAACCAACCCACGCTGTGGGTGGTCTTATTTGGTACTTCTGTTCTTTCCCACGTATTTGGGTTTTGATCTCCTCCTTTATCCTTGGCAAAATACACTTGTATAGCCATAACTTTCACGTTTGTGACAAATATAGCCATAATTATTCGAAAACCAAAAATAGCCAATTCCGTCCATCTCTTTAACGATGTTTCTTAACAATCTGACTGTACTGACGGAATATGCTGAGTTGGCGATTTATGATCCCCACCAAGCCGATGTGGATTAAAAAAAAATTAAAATACAAAAAATCATTATTTATCTAATAATTTAGTTTAAAAAAAAAATTGCAACCTTCTACCCACCGCCCATCTTCCTCCTACTGTACATCTTTCCCAATTCAAACCCAGATCCTCCCCTGTTCTCACCTTCCTCTCTCTCTCTCTCTCTTCTTTCCTCTTCCGCTACGAACAACGCCTCCCCTCTCTTCTCAATTCCAGATCATCGCTTCCCCCCCCCCAAAACTCAATCCACACCGCCGACAAACAAAGAAGGCGGCGGTTGAAACCCAAACTCGACCAACCAAAAAACCCCAAGAACCCCTACCCTCCCTATGTATTCAAAAATACCAACCAACAACTACAACAAGGAGTCGAGAGGTTCTCCACCGCCACTCTCCAACACAATCTCGAAACCGCCTCCGCCTCCTCCTTTCTTTCGGCCACCGCCACATCATTATTACCTCCGCCGCCATTATTGCTACACGAATACCTCTACCCCTCCTGTCGAGCCACTGCGAATCGATCCTCCTCCGTCACTGGTCGCCGCGACGAGGAGAAGTTTAACGCCTGTGAAATATGGTTTGGTGGTTGCTGAAGCAAACGACGGATCTGGGTGACCGGAACCTTTCAATCAGCGACGTGGTGAGGAACGCCACCAGCGAGAAAATTTCAATCGGCGACCGGGCACTTCCAAACGACGACAAGAAGCCTCCGATCGGCGGCGGGCATCACTTCGATATCCAGCACCGTCGTTCCTTTGAAGTCTCTCGGAACCCTAAAATGATTTTTGGAATTGGAGGTGGAGCAGAGGGATTGAAGCAGATGGCCTCCTCTAATTGATGACGGCGACGACGAGTGGTGGGAGGGGAGAGAGAATGAAAAAATAATATATGATTTTATTTATTTTTAAATTAAAATATGACGTGGCACTTACGTGAAAAATGTGGTTGATGTGTCGCTGACGTGTGCGATGATTTGGCATCCTAATCAGTCTAACGTTAACTTAACTGACAGAGTTTCTAACACCGTTAAAGTTTCTAACGGAAATGGCTAGATTTGTCACACTACCATCCAATTTTTTGCTATTTCGTGTTTTCCAATAATTATGGCTATATTTGTCACAAACGTGAAAGTTATGGCTATACAAGTGTATTTTGTCTTTATCCTTCATTCCTTCTTCATCAATCACTGAACTAAAGACCTAACTTTTATGTATGTCACACACAAATTAAGTGGTCCAAAAAATGGCGTGCACATATATAAAGTGTAATAGTACTTTCGTGGTATATACTAATTTTTTTTTTTTTGATGAGGGTGATAATTTATTAAGGAAAAGCAAAGAGGGATAAAACCCAAAGAGAGTACAGAAGGGAAGGGGGATGGGAGCACAAGCAGTGCAGCCCAAAGCCCCAACAACAAAAGCAGAAACGCAAAAACAAAGGACAGCAAAAAAGACAGAAAAAGAAACGTGACCCCAAGCCAAGGGGAGGAACAGCACCACCAAGGCAGGGCCGGAAACGGGACGACAGCAGAAAACGAAAAAAAACCAGCAGCCCCGGAAAGTTCACAGAAACAGAACAGCAGCAGCGAAGCAGCAAAACCCGACTCGCTTTAGCCGCGACACGACGCGGGAAACAGGAACCCACCCGGCATC